TTAAGTCAAGCTCTGAGAAGCTTATGCCTATCTTTTCTTCTTCTTCAATTTTGACGCCAGAACTAGTATCTACATCAACATCCTCCTTTTCAGTTTTAATTTTCTTTTCATCATTGCAAGAAATTTGATGCCTTTCCGACGTATTACGATATGTATAATCGCGTTCATTGTTACATGTGTTGTCCTTATCACGACTTTGATCGCTTTCTCGAATACGTGAACGGCCTATATCTCGATCGTGTCTACGATTGCAATCACGATCACGATCACGACTACGATAAGAATCATTATGTCTACTATAATGACCTTCACGATCACGATTCCAATGTTGAGAACCATTTGGACTTCTATCACGACTTCTACTCCTTTCAATAGAATATTTACTTTTATTAGATCTATCTCTTGAAGAGTTTCGTCTTCTACGATCCAAATGACGATCAGAATCATATTGTGGATAATCATATTCGCGCCATGATAAACGAGTTCTAGAGTCAACTGAATATCTCCAATTTGAATCAAATAGACCTCTTTCAAAACCTTTAGTTTTAATATTGCGTGGAGTTGGTTCATCAGTATTTGAATCTATTTCACCATCTTCTTTGTCATCGTTCATAAATTGAATATTTTGTTTTTGCTCATTCTTATCCAAATTTTCACTAAATGATTTGGTAGAATCTTTCGAAGAAATTTTAGGTGTTGAAACAAATTCTTTCGACGATCTCTTATCTGAGTCAAAATCTTTTGATGAAGTTTTAAATGTTGAAAAAGTTTTTGATTGCGCCTTAGATGCTGGAACTGAATCTTTTAATGATATTTTAGAAGAATCTTTTACCGGAAGCTTTGTTATCAACGTTGTGTCTTTCGTTGTAGATGTTGGAATAGAATTTACAAATTTATTTTTGATGCTATCTAATGATCGAGACGGTGATGGATCCAATGGGACTTTTATTGGAGGAGCTTCTGGTGGCGCCATTGGTGGAGATGGGGATGGCACATCATCAATTTCCATATCAATTTCATTTGCTAATGGTGTTGATTTACGACTATTACTAGGTGAATGAGTTCCTTTTTGTGTTTGACATTCTGAAATAGTTGCAGAAATAGAAGATTTTAACTTTGAACCTAGCTCGAATTTAAAGACCAGGATGTGGATAAAGTAAATTAGAACGAATATTCAACAATAATGAATTTCAAAACTGTCAACATAATTACAAACCATCATTATCTAACTCCACTTTAATTGGTGGACCACCGGCTATTTGTTTGCCATTAAACCTAATGACAGCCTCTCTCGCTGCATTTAAAGCTACACCATCTTCATCGCCAAAATAAGTAACTGTTGCGATTCCAAGACTATGGTTATAATCCGGATGTTTTTCAATATTACAATCTCGTATATATCCACATTCTTCAAAATTTTCCCGAATTTGAGATTCATGCATGAATTTATCAAGGAATGATATGATGATAGTGGATTCCTTACGATTATGTAGTTTTTTATCTTGCTATAATATGATAATAAAAATCGTAAGAGATAATATTATACATATATTTGTATGATATTATACTTTACAAAAATATATATTTGAATTTAATATTTTCAGTAAATACCTCGTATGTCAGCACTTGTAATGACTTACAATACTTTTGTCGTTTGACATTAAGACTTAGTGCGTATTCGCGATTTATTCGTGGATCTCCTTTAGGTTGCCGAAGTTGCTGAAATAAAAAAAAAAACATCACTGCAACGTTATAAAATATAAAAATATTAATGAATTTAATAATTAATATATACATGTTCAATGTTTTTTGTAACTTTAGCATTTGTTTCTGCTAATGTCTCGGGAGTTAAGTTTGGTTCGTAATATATTAGAGGACCTTCGTAGGTATGTTCGTCTTTTGGAAGTTCTGATGAATCAGATTCAACAGAAGAAGCTGAACAACCACGAGGACGGTATGGTTTTAGTAGAACCCTGCAGGTCTTTATATCTACTTCAGGGAGTAAAAAGAATTCTGGAACCTCGGTCATAGGAGTGATCGTGCCGTAATTAACAGGGATATTGGTTATCGGAGTAGTGACAAGGTCAAGATCAACTGAAACGTTTGCCGTAGGGGTTGTAATCGTGTCGATCGTGTCATAATCAGCCGATGGTTCGTATTTACTAATATTTGTAGTAACATTCGTTGTGGGAGAGATCGTGCCAAAGTTAGTCGAAACATTGGTCGTACGGATAGTGATCGTGTCAAAGTCAGTCGGTGGTTCGTATTTACTAGTAATGTACATATTTTCTTCTTCTGACTCCTGAAAGAGCATTTCACGCAAGGTGTTATAAGTCAAGATTAGAAAGTAAGCATTAAAATAAGCGAGAAGGTTTTGGTAATTTGATCGCACTTTGTGCAACACATTAAAGCATAAAGTATAAAATGTGATCACATGATTACATCATTATTTAAGCTTTTCTTGCTTTTTTTTAATAATTATCGTTATGTCAGTAAATCCAGCTAACCCTCCACGACCTGCTCTCGTTGCAACAGATGAAGATGGTTTTGCATATATTACAACCGCATACCGATGGCCAGTAATCGTGACAAAAATTATCGACGATATTTACAAGACTCGTCATTCACTTGATCTTTCAGAAGTTGTTAAACTTAGAGAAGGCAAAGAAATTATTGACTCTTTAGGAGAATTAAAATATCAAATGCAAAGAAAAAGGCCACTGACGTATGTATATGGGATCTTTGCCTTGATAAACAAGGTTTGACTATAGATAAATTTTTCGATTAAATTTCAAAAAAAAAAAACCCCCCAAAGTTTAACTTTTTTATTGGTAAAAGTCCAATCGAAGACGACGGTGAACCGGATATTGACACATGGACATATGTGTTCAACACTTATTTCAAAGATGATAATTGGTATTCAGCAGCTTGGTTATTCATGGAATGTTACTTATATCGTCGAGTTCGTTCTATACTTGCAAGAACCAAACAGTGGAACGATTACGATCCCTTTTTACGTCAAAAAGAAGATACTTTTAGAGCTTCTATTGCAGCAATTGTCGAAATCGCGAAACGTATTGATGAATTAGTTGATATTCCAAAGTCGGGTGCGCATGATGGAATAATCGACGCTGGTAGAATTATTTTCCACGAACTTGTCCAAATATCACTTTGGGGCAATGCTACAGATTTATCTTTGCTAAATAATCTTAGCAATGATGACATTAAAAAATTACAGAATGTTGGAGCTAAGCGGTTAGAAGAATTAGAGAAAAATATTTTGGTTAATGATTTAGAAAAGGCATGGAATTATATATCAAAATGTCGTAATGTTAGGATTGATTTTATTCTAGATAATGCAGGTATAATTTCTTTATTATAAATCTTTATTATATATACATATAAAAAAATTTATTTTGGTCTTAAATTTAGGGTTCGAATTATATTCAGATTTAGTTTTAGCGGATTGGCTAATTCAATCTGGATACGCAACAGAAATCTATTTCCATGCCAAAAAAATTCCGTGGTTTGTTTCAGATACAACACCAAAAGATTTTAATTGGATTCTTCAGACACTTCAGAGTGAAGATTTCTTTTCATCAACCTCTGAAATGGAAAAATCTTTTCTCAAAAAACTTGCAACTCGCTTGCAGTCTTACGTTTCCAATTCGCAATTAATCCTTACTTCTGATTATTTTTGGACATCACCATACGCTTATTGGCACTTGGCAGAGAAAGCACCAGATTTATATGTTGATTTATGTACTTCTAATCTTTTAATATTTAAAGGAGACCTTAATTATAGGAAATTAGTATATGACTGTAAATGGAAAATTAATACGCAGTTTGAAGAAGCCATTGGACCACTTGCAGGCATGAAAGGTTCTCCACCTGTACTTGCTTTGCGAACATGTAAGGCTGATGTAGATACTAGTTCTGGCGTCAAAATTGAAGAAGAAGAAAAGATAGGCATAAGCTTCTCAGAGCTTGACTTAA